CCCCCCCCCCCACCCCCGCCACCCCCTCACCACTTCATCTAAAGTGCTGCTGTTGCTGGGTTGCCTTGTACCCTCTTCTCTTCTCCTCGTCCCCCCCCGTCCCGCCCCGTCCTCCTTCCTCTTCCTCCGTCCTCTTCCTCCGCCTCACAAGTCCCCGTGCCGGCTCTCGTACTTGTTGATGATGTTCCGACAGCGGCCCAGCTCCTTCCTCATGTCGGCCACCTCCTGGCGGAGGGCGGCGTTCTCCCGCTCCAGGAAGGCGGCGCGCACCGAGATCTGGTTCTCCTTCAGCCGCCGGGCGTCCCGCGAGCGCTTGGCCGCCTCGTTGTTCTTCACGCGCCGGCTCCAGTACTTCTCGTCCTGTCCGGCGGCGGTGTGGTATGTTGGGGTGTGTGTGGAGGAAAAAGGTGAGGGGAGGAGAGAGGGGTAAAAAAAAAGAGGGGTGGGGGGAGAAAAACGGGATGAGAAGGGTCAGTTATGTGATGAGAGACAGGATGGTAAGTAGAGGAAAACAGGTGGCAGCTGCTAAATACTCACAACCAGTGTAGCAGCCACAACACACACACACCATGGTCACATGGATACGCACAAGAGGACCACATTTGGTTATTTCCTGCCATACTGGCTTAATTCTGTGGTAGCTTGTTTACAGTTGATACCCATCCATCCGTTTTCTCTACACAAATCGATAAGTAAAACGCCCCAGCTGCCATTGGTCAATAACCAGGACTCTTCTGGATGGCTCCCCACGTTTATCACAGGACCACACAGAGGGAGAAACAGACACACAACTGGTGACACAGCAGTTAAAACCCTCACACCAGCCACCACTGACAGCAGAGGCTGATCACATTCATTCCTCTGGCGTTTGAGACTGTTATAAAAAGTCCATTTGGTGGCAGCTCCGCTCAGAGCGAAGTAGCTGTCCTGCAGTTTAAAAAAGGAAAGCACAGGCGGACAGTGCTTCAGAAACTTAAAATGTACCAATTCAGCCATTTTTTTGCATGCTTTGACCAAAAAAGTCCCACAGTGGAGTTTAGAAAGTGCAGTAATTGTGCAGTCTTTGAGCACAAACTGTAAAAATTGGGCTGCACTTTGCACAGTGGACCAACATTACAATTATATATGCTGGAGAGAGATTGCATATATGCATATAAATCCAAAAGAGTTCACTGTTTGAATCTTAATATTGTTTTAATATTTCTACAACTGCACACCAAAACTCAAAAGCCCTTTGGAGCACTTCAGTACGGATCCTTTCATTTTTTTCTGCTTTATCATTTGTCGTAAATATCATGAATATAAAAGTAATAATAAAGGAGATAGAAAAAGGACACTTAGGAAATTGAAACACAAAAAAGACACATAAAGACGGGCTGCATGTATGCATAAGTCCCACACATCAGTTTAACGTGAGCTAAACCAGATTAAGTTAATTCCACAAAGTGTGTGTGTAAAGGGGGGGTCTATGAAGTGGAAAACCGTCTCAGTGATTCATCAGATCAATAAACCCTATGAAAACACTTCCTCCCTACAGTCCA